AGAGAGAGAGAGAGAGAGAGAGAGAGAGAGAGAGAGAGAGAGAGAGAGAGAGAGAGTTGCAATGCAATATGAACAGCAAACACACAAAGAACCCCCACAGAGATGGAGAGAGAGGGGAGAGAGGTCCTGATGTGAAGGAACATGCGATCGCTCTTGGCTAACCATAGTGCTCAAAAGACTTTTTCTCTGAAAACCGGAGTTATTTGTTCTATCTGCTGTTTAGGGAATTGTGACCCCACTCTGCCTATGATTACCAAGTCTAAGGACCAGAACTCATGTAGACCATAAGCCAGAGTCTACATTGTTCATGTGGCATGACCGCACTGTCTGCATGATGATGTGGCGCACGCCACTTGTCTACTTTGTTGATGTGGCATGGCCACGCTGTCTGCATGATGATGTGGCGCATGCCACTTGTCTACTTTGTTGATGTGGCATGGCCACGCTGTCTGCATGAGGTGACCGGTTGCAATTAGGCGGGGGATCCAGATGTGTGGATGATTGTGACCTGGAACTTACCTGAGGTTGACGTTGTTTCCGTATTCTGTTGTTGTCTTCCTTGTCTTCACGACAGAACAGTTCCCCATGGTACTTCTATGTGATTAGGACTTGTCGAACTCGTTACCGGGTACTGTTTGATGACCTGGAAGCGAGGGGAAAACTGGAGAAGAAGTGGGTATTATTGGTCTATTCCCCTGATAGTCATTGATTCTCACTCACCCTTTCGCTGTTTATTTCCCCCTCCACTTTCCTCGTCCATTGGTAACGAGATGCTGTGTCAGATATCACTTTTCACGATAACAGAAGGCCTTGTGCAGATCTGAGCCTACTTGTAGTACGACGTCTGACGAGTATCTTCCAGTCAGAATTCAATACAATAATAATAATAATAATAATAATAATAATAATAATATAAAAATAATAATTATTATTATTATAATTATAATAATTATAATAATAGTACAAGGAAAATTAGCAGAAGCGAGGTGACAAAACCCAGAATGCACAATCACATTGAAAGCTAGAAAGTATCACGGTGTCCAGAAAGCAGCATTGCAGCAATATGACACCAATGAAGAATAGTAACATTAAAAACTAATGTCAATGAGAGCTTGTCCTCGCCACCGCCATCATGAGTGTCCAGGCCCGATCTCCCTACTTGGCGCTCAGCGCCCGACCTACAATCCCGCAACTACTACCAATCCATGAATTGACAATGCAACGGCTGACGTCGGCAGCGGTACCGAAGTACTGAAAGATGTTGACTCATGGAGACCATTGCCAATACCAGGTATGTGTCTTAACACCATCATCATTATTTTTCTCTCTCCCTTTCACTTGTCTGTCTGTCTGTTCCTTTCTCTGTGTGCGTCTGTTTGTGCTTTTGTCTGTCTGTTTCTTTCTCTGTGTGTGGTTGTTTGTGTTTCTGTATGTCTGTCTCTCCCTCTTTTCTTTACTTCCTTTCCTTTTTCTCATCGTTTTTTCTCCTTCTTCTCCCTATTCTTTTCTCCCACTTCTCCTTCTCCCTTTCTCTGCATGTTTCATCCCTGTCTCTTAGATGATGAAGTTCAATGAACTTCTCACAGCACCCCCGACAGCAAACCCCTGAGACTACGGTGGTCCAGACGCTTCACTGGACCATTCAATCGGCAGGAGAGACGGCTAGTGTGTACAAAGGGCAGGAACGTAATCAACATAAACTGACTATCAAACTCAAGGAGTGGGAATGATATACAGAAAACCAATAACTGCGAAATTACACAGATGTCCAAGTGGTCGTGTACAAGCAGAGAGCAGGAGTGCATCGAGATTGCATTCAAATAAGAGCAGTACGATGAAGTCATGAGTCAATGTTCAAACCCTCTGTCATACCAATCACAGTATCCACTGTTGCTTCTCTCTTTTTGGCTGTCAGTGCTCAGCCTACACTACTTACCTATCTTATCCACATCAATATTCACGCAACAGGCTCACTTCGACACTTGGTAACCAATGTACATGACGTCATCACCATAGCCGACCTCTCTTCATGTACCAGGTACGTGTCTCGTCACCCTCAATCAGACCGTGACAACCCCACTCTCGCCTCCTTCGCTGAAGACCACCGATCCCGTGTCTACCACCTCTAACACGCCAACCCCTACACATTATAGCTAGGATCGGAACATAATAATAATAGTCGTAATAATAGCAAAATAATAATAATAATTATTATTATTATAATTATAATAATTATAATAATAATAATAATAATAATAATAATAATAATAATCATACAAGGAAAATAAGTGATAGCGAAGTTCAGAAACCAAGCAGCTTCATACACATGAGACCAGATAATCGTGACCTCGAACCAAAAGCAGAATTGCATTACGAGTTTCACCAAATAAAAGCACACCAAACGCTCATAATTGACAATGCTGGAATAGTCTCATCATCATCATCAACGAAGAACCAATGTTGATATCCTATCTGGCGCTCGGCACCCAGACTACAGATGGCAGATCCTATCTAGCCTAGACTACAATGCCGGTGATGGCGACAGCTCCCCGAAGTACGAGCAGATCTCGGCCAATATCGTTCGCCTCAAGCACCAGGTATGTCTCCCGTATCACTCACTACTTCGATCCCCCACACAGATGCCACGTGTACCAAGGACCATCACTCGCCCCCTCCTTTTGTAATCCTTTTTCTCCCCCTTCCGTCTCTCCTTCTCCTCTTCTCCTTCTTCTTCCTCCTCTTCTTCTTCTTCTTCCTCTCCTTTCTCCTTTTCTCCTTTTCTCCTTCTCCTTCTTCCTCTTCTTCTTGCGCACCCCTTTTCCACGCGATCGCCTTCCTCCCTCTGCGCACCTCCACCTCTCGCATACCGTAATGGTACAGACTAGAACAAGAACAGACCTCTCCCACATAGTACAGGACAGCGCAGCGGAATGCCAGTATACCAATGATCAACCCAATCAACATCGTAAAACCAAACATACATCATCATCATAACATGGTGTGAAGGGGTCTGGCGCCCACACAGGAAGAATGCGCCAGTCCCCATACATACACAGATGAAGAAGAGGGGGATCAGATGAAGAAGAGGGGGAAGATGGGAATGTCGTCAACACCAAGTCTTCGATACAGGTCCCAAATGAACCCTCGTCCAATGTCTCAGTCCCAAGGTCGAGTCTGAATCCAAATGTCGTCAAGTCCCGAAGTCACAAATCTCTCTCTCTCTCTCTCTCTCTCTCTCTCTCTCTCTCTCTCTCTCTCTCTCTCTCTCTCT